TATTACACCAGGTACAAATATATAAGTGAAATTGGAAAGAAAAATTTTGCAGATTTTTATGATTTTTTTTTCTAAAATCATGGCGTCCCAAAAGTATAGGGACACTCGGTTCTTCTGCAGTGTTTCTGACTTAGGTGAGTTGTGAAACCAATTTGTCACTGCTCTACTTCCCACACTTGTTCTGAAGTGCCATGTCACGAGGAGCTCGACTCACCGGTGGCGCGGACGCGACCGCGTGCGGATGACGTCACTTTGACGTCAAAGCGCGGCGAGGGAGAGAGTAACGAGCAAGGTTCGACGAAAATACTTCGATACACAACGTATTATACACTCTATCGTGCTCTAAGTTAACGAAGTGACGGGAACAACCGACGGATATTAGGAATATTGCAATAACCTTCGAGTTAATTGCGCACTTCCAAGGGTTCACCCATGAAGGCGTTGATTTCCTCCACATTCTAAAGAATTCCTGATTTTCGAGCGCGAAAATGGTACTTATACACAATACAATTACTCTGCTCCCACAGCACTAGATTGCACTGGTTGGTAAGGTGCCAGCAACCTTCCACTAGTCGAGCGAAAAGGCAGCGACACTGTCCCTCTTGCCTTCTCGTCGCACTTACCGCAGCTGTGACGTCACCGGCAGGCGCTCGCGTCCGCGCCGTCGGTGACCTTTTCCCTCTTCCCGCCACGAGGAATGCACCTACACGACTTTGAGAAAGGCCAAATTCGGGTTACAAGGATATGGGACTCAGCCACCGCAGCATTTCAAGGAAATTAGGACGATCAGTCAACTTGGTGAGCAAATTCTGCAACAACATCGACTCCTACGGTACGAAAAAAGGAGCGGGAGACCTAGGAAAGTTTTGGAAAGGCAGAAGCGCCGAATTCTCAATGCTGCATCCATGTTTGACGAGTGCGTATGGAGAAGCACGAGTCTTTTCTTGAAGGAACACGTAGGCTGGACTCGTCAATGGGATGAGGTACTTTGCACTGGCGGATTCCGCATGTAATATCACACACTGTAGTGCTCCAGGTGAATTTTTCCGATGAAAAGAAGTCTAATTTGGATGGACCCGATGGCCTGGCAAGCTATTGGCGCGAGGAAGGAAGCGGTCACACTACTTTTCCAGACGCGGATTCGGTGGCGGTAATGTCACGGTTTGAGCTGCCTTCACAGCACTTCGTAAGAGTGAACTGGTTTTTGTCACGCAACGCTTGAACTCCAGTGGCTACAGGATCCCTTAAAACCAATTCGGTCCCATACATGCAGCGAATTTCCACCCTTTAAGTTCAAATTCCAACAAGACAACGGTACTACTCATGTAAGTGTCTCAACACTGGAGTGGTTCCAAGACAGAAACACAAACTACCGGACGTCTACGCCAACTGCAGACAGAGAACGAAAAACAGCTGAAAAACGCCGTCAAGGAGGCTTGAGAGCAGATATCGCCGGAAACGATTTCAAGGTTTGCCCAAAGCATGCCGAAGCGGATGATTCAATTTATCGAAAGAAGAAGAAATGTTACTACTTTTCAATCATTGTTGTTATTATTGATTTCACTAAGTATATCGTTCGGGAAGTTTGAACGTCGAAGTGTCCCTACACTTCTTAGGGGACGCCATGAATTTAGACAAAAATTATAAAGAATCTACAAGATTTTTCCTTTCCAGCTTCACTTATATATTTGTACAGTGATGAACAATGCATGATAAAAATTTGGAGAGAAATCAATCGCCCATTTTATATATTGGAGAAAAATAGGGTGTGCCTATACTTTTGGGACACACTGTAGTTGCTCTACTTATGTCAATGGGACGGGGGAGTTGGGTTATACGCTACATACCCACCCTATGGCAATGATTGCAGATGTGGTCAAAGGTGTGTGGTGGAGAGAAGAACAAGGAAAACGGCCTCGTACCCGAAAAAATGGGACCCAATTCTGATTTCTGCTTTGGCCAAGCCAGCGACCAAGAGCTCGTTTGCACGTGTTAAATAGCTATGACCGGTATCATGCCTACAAACATCATCTTTTAGCCGATTACCTAGAAAAATTGAGAGATACGGCCGCTTGAGTGGAATGCCCTTTCACCGTGGGTAGCCTGGGCTCGATCTCCGACCGATGCGCCAGATGACCAGGGTGGCAGAAGTCTTGCGTTTGGTAGCCCCTTCATTGTAACGACGAAACGGTTCCTCAGTGGAATATTTATCAAAAGAGAGAGAGACTGAGTACGTGTTAGAATGGACCGTTCCCTACGCTCACAGGAGCAGTCTCTAGCTTAGGAAATACTCCGCACTCCGCCCACTCGAGAAGCCACTCGAGGGAGTGGAGTTGGTCTTTCCGTATTCAGAAACTCCGCCTTTATGAACAAAAGTTAAAGGTGTTCCGATAAACTGATAAGGTACGAAATAATGGCCAAATGAGTTCCAAACGATTGATTCAACTCACGTGGTGTTGGGGTGGTTGGCGCTGAAACGAGAACTCTTTACTAGAAGGTACGACCGTTAATAAAAAGAATTCTTGCAAAATCAATCCGCTACGAGCACTTACGGATGAGACATTTGGCGTAACACTGCTGTGGATTGTACGCTAGCATGTCGATATATAGACTAGAGAACTGGAGCTGGTATTCGACGTCATCCAAATTCTTTTGAATCTGCTGAAGGTCGGTTTGATACAGGGTAAGCAGCCTAGAATACTCTTCAGAAAGCGGAACCCTCGTCGTGGTAACATGATCACAATGGAGAGCGATCGGTGAGATAAGTCAACTTAGAAGCTGCAGGGGCTCAGACAACTTGCTTCAAAACTAAGGCGTGGTCTCGTAGCGCAAATTATGACAACCTGCCTCTCCGTAGCAAACTGTATCATTGAACGAGTTCGTTCTATTTCTACGTTCACTCTTGCATGAAAGGTTATCCCGAGGGGTGAGTTCAGTGTTCAGGCTTCTGCCTCTACAATTTACAGGGTGGTCCAAAATTAGGACCAAGACATTGTGTCGTTAAAAACGCATAGTAGCTTGATGGAACAAACCAACTTCAGGGAAGTATTTGTAACTCTCCCTCAAAGTAATTCCAGAATAGAATTGAGATCTGCCACCTGCCCCGTTACACGAGCCTTCAGATGAAGGGGATGGCGCGTGCGGTGGCACGCAACTGAGGCGTGTCCAAATGTTTCCAGGCCTTCTGCTCTGCCTTCTTCAGGGAATCAAAGTTTTGTGGGGCATTTATTTGCGCTTGCATCCAGGGTGTGAAATACAGAAATCTAGAGCTATTAGGTGGAAGGTTCCATTGTAACAATTCTTCGAAAGCAACGAACTCAAAAAAATCGCTTTTTAGACTTGTTAGACTTTTTAGACTAACTTGTAGTGCCTTATATATTGGAGAAACTGGAAGGCAATTAGGCGTGCGTGTGAAAGAACATCTTGCCGGCAAACGGAGAGAAAACTTGGCTACACCGCTCGGTAAACACAAAAGGGAAAGTCATGATGGTTCCGATTTCGACGTCAAATGTACGATACTGGCCTACGAAAATGACATCGGTGCTAGGAAAACTCCTCGAAGCTTTCTGGATAAAACTTCGTAATCCATATATGAATAACAGGAATGAAT